TTGGTCAATGACATGAGACAAAGTATATGTGAACTGCTGTATGAAAAGTGAATTTACTCTGTAAATCTTCACCCAAATCCTAATAAAATAAATAAATAAATAAATAAATAATGAATAAGGGATCATGAGCCCTGGTGTTCTCCAAGAGGCCTCTGCCCCACTAGGTTCAAACCAGAAACCAGATAAGTGTCTTTCTCTCCCAAACATCAGCAAAACATGGATGAGTGCATCATTTTAAAGTAAGGGAATACTTCTTAGTGTAGGGGAATTGGCTGTTTGTTTTGTGATAGCCAACATTGTTTGTTTGATTAAAGATTATTAATATCATGCATGAATTGAAAGTCTTCATAAGATCAAAAAATTATTGAAAACATCACTGAGTCAGTTTACAGCTAAAACAGAATCTACTTTATAAAATATAAATTCTTGGTACTCAGGGTCTGCTGCAATGGAAGTGTCACCCTAGGTCATATAATGAATAAAGAGACCGAGGAAAGAGGTGCTGAGAACTCAACCAGTTTTATAGAAAACAAAACAAAGAAAGAAACAAAAAGCATTAAAAAAAAAAAAACTAGCAGCATTGGCTTTCTCCTACTCAAGACTTACAGAAAGTGCAGCATTCTACCGACACGTGTCAGGGACCACCATTTAAGGCAGAGACAGGCTTTTCAGGAGGGACAGAGGGAAGGCAAAGACACACAGCCAGACTCAAGGGTCTGTGAAATAGGAAGAGGCAGCCAAGCTCAGATTGCTAAGAAAAGGATGGGGTGGGGAGAACAATGGCGTTTAATTGTGGGTCTCTTCTCTCCAAATAAGAGAGAGGCCCATGGGCTAATCTAAAAGATCTCATCTGAAACCCTTTGTGGGTTCCATCTTGCTCTCTTCCATATTCTTCATATCTCTAGGCATTTTAAGAACCACAAGAGAACCCATCTCTACCTTTAATGGATGGCTTCTGTTCTCAACTGGCACTACGCAGTCACATGTTCAAATTCATGATTTATCACATCATCACATCAACATTCTTCTTCAAAGTATGAAAATCTCTTCTGCCTCTTCCTCATTTGCACAATTGTACAATCAATTGATTAAATTATATAATTATGAATATATAATGTACATATAATTGATGGTATATGTGTGTATACACACACACACACACACATCTCAAACTCACTGCCATCAAGTTGGATCCAACTCACAGCAACCCCTCCTTGGATTTCCAAGGCAGAATCACTATGGAAGTAGATTGCCCTATCTTCCTTCTGAGGAGTGGCTGGTGGGTTTGAAC